GCTCACCAGGACGTAAACCGCCGAACGGGTTTATCTCTTCGCATGCACCGGGCCCGGCGGGCGCGCCAGTATTAAGTACAAGCAGTATGTGCATCTGTATCTGTGGAGCCGTCCCCATGAGGGGCACCTCAGCAATCTAGAAAAAAATAGATTATTCCCCTCCTGGCAAAACGCAAGCAGATGTTAACTACTAATGCCGTCTCCCTTCGGACGCGTATGCAGACCATGACTGTAGTAGCTGGTACACTGTACGGCTCTACAAATACGCGCGAAGTGCGACCACCAGCATCTCGAGAGGCCTTTTCAGCGGCCAGCTACTACAATGACCTTCCCGTGCTGAATACGGGGGAATTACCGACAAGCAGGCAAGCACGGAAGCATGGCGGTCGCAGCATGGGTGTGTGCAGCCAGAGTACGGGCCAATGAGAAGTGGACAGAAGGTACTTCACTCACCGCTCGCGCTGCGGCCTCTGAGTACTGCCTCCAGGCGAACTGCTCCGCAGCGCCACAAGCGACTGAGGCGTCGTACGGGTACTTCAGGACGCCGTTAGTCACAGTGCCCTTGCAAGGAATCTGACAGGTGCATCAACAACAGTGGAAGAATGAAAACAAGGGAAGAGCACGAGGGCAACGGATGGACACTGCCGTGCTTCGGTTTAGGGCCAATGAGAAGCGTTGGTCAGAAGTGGAGCTAAGAGTTTTACCTTGACACGGTTTCAAAGCATTTTTGGTGAGTTGAAGGTGCAGTACAGGCATTCCCAGGGACAATCCAGTAACCGACGAGGTGTACTTGTACTAAAACAAGTAGAGGACGACGGCAGCGAGGCGAGCCAAGATGGATATGACCGGGAATGTCGCGGCGCAGTTCGCACGCTGCTGCTGTCAAAGCAAACCCACCTCTACGGGCCCAAACACGAAGTTCTCCGAGGGATCGAACGCCACCTTGCCGTAGCTGCACGTGTCGTGGTAGCCAGCAATGTTGTTGGTATTGTTGAAGAACGTGCCTTTTATTTGCTGCAAAAGAAAATTGGGACAAAAGAAGGGAGAACAAGATCGGGAGAGGTAATGGGAAAGTGGGGAATGGCAGCAGTTGCAGTAGTGCGGCACGTAGCTAGCTGGATGCACACAGGGGTCACCACACAGGGGCGCACCTCGCTCGATTGATCGGCCGTCAAGAGGGCAATGGATCACGGGGAAAGATTGCAAGCCAGGTACCAAGGTGGGATATATCGTTAGGAAGCAGGGATGAACGGAAGACGTACGACATCGGACCCGGGTCTGCACCAATACCATTACAACCCCAATACTCGGCACCTGCATTGTGCAGGACAGACCGCAACAATGCCACCTGGCACCAAATGGAACAAACCTGCGGGCCAGGCTGACAACTTGAAATGATAGCCCCGTGTGGAGGAAGATCCTATTTGCCTGCTATTCGCCTAAGTGTGGGCGTTACAAGGGCGAGGGGTTATAACCCCCGAGCCTGCATATTACCGTACGAGCCGGGCTATTATGGGCTTCCTCGTGCCAACCAAAAGGTATGCCAAGGGCCTTCCGGCTAACAGCGAGCAGGCAAGAACTCACCTCAACGGTGGCCGAGGGGGCCCATCCGCACGTAGAGATGATGTAGATCATGCTCTTGACCCGGATCTGGGTACCCGTGTAAATCTCGTGGCCCTCCGACTCGGAAATGACATCGATGGAATCGATCTCGGGAAGGGGTTCATCAGACAGGAGACGCCGGCTGCCGCTGGCAGTGCTCGAGTTCTTGTAGTTCACACGAACATAATCGCCTGTCAACACCTGGGAGATTTTGAGGGCAAGGGGGAAGGGTAAAGCGCGGGGAAACACGTGTTTCTGAGGCGCGAGTGCAAGGACCAGGACTTTCAGGAGTTAGGCACCCTGAGTGCGCGTCATGAGCTCTAATGCTGACCGATGCTTTGATTTCTTACAAGGCGCAACCGAAGACGGCGCTGCTCACAGCAAGACTGCTGAATTCGGGGCCCTTTACAGTCTTGCAACCTTGCTAAGTGTCAGCAGGGCTGGGACATACACTTAAAGCGGCACATTTTGCTGTAGGCCCAATTCCGCCAGTCATATGCAGGTTATCACCGCTCCTTGGGGGAGAGGCCTACTCAACAACCAGTCAACGTGCTCCTTTACCCCACGACTTCTTGCGGTATTCCGCTCCAATATTGCACCCCAAGAAAGAAAACAGTCGTAACATCGAGGTTCCCCAACCCTCCCATTCCGGGTTGCTCAGAGCGGTGATACTGGCACTAAGCGAGCGTGTGATGAGCGGCTGGGACCATGCGCGTCTGACTGTCTTGCCAGATGAGTACCCATCAGATGGGAAGCAACCGGGAGTGCAGATGGCGAAGTATAAGCACTGGATGGGGCTGCCTTTTGTGGGAGCCGCAGCCGTTATGTGGCCAACACACGCTAAGGTTTTCATTCCTCGTTTAGCGCATCGTAAGCTAATGCAGTCCCGTTTATGTTACTGGGCTTTGGAGCAAACAGAGGACGAAGGGGCAAGCACCACGCCCCCAGGTAGAAGCGCTTTTGCCGCTGTTGTGGCACCAATAGCCAAGTCGAGGATGGAAAACATGGGTCAATGCCCAGACTAAAATGATATTCGCGCGGAAGAGGATACGATCAATCAACAGAGCATGTTGGAAGCCATGAAATGGGAGCCAGCACGTCTGTTGAGGATGTTGGAACGTATGTAACGGCTCACCGCAACTCAGTTATCCCCTTTGGGCGCTAGTCTGGGCTGATAGTGTGGTGTTTCCTTTCTCCGTGGCTTTTAGGCGTTTAGGTATTGCCCTTGGGCCTTCGGCTCGTAGTTCTACAGGTATGGTGTCACCCAACCATGTAACACACACACATACACACACATACACACACATACACACACATACACACATACACACATACACACACATACACACACATACACACACATACACACTCATACACACATATACACACACATACACACACGTACACACACATACACACACATACACACACATACACACACATACACACACATACACACACATACACACACACATACACACACATACACACACATGCACACACATACACACACATACACACATATACACACGGCGGCGGGATAAAGCCAACCTTGCGGAGGGCATGTTCGAAGCCTGTTTGAAGGATAGTGCAGTCCAGCTGCAGATTTTATTCATGAGGCAGGTAGTGGGGACGGCACGGCCATCCCACAGGCTGTTGTACGCGGAGCTGGCTGAACTCCCCTTACAATATTACATGGTGAAGCAGATTCTCCGTTTCTGGAACCGCCTTCAAAAGCAAGTGGGATCCATTGCTCATGCAGTTTTACGGCAGGAGATAACCGATGCCCTGACCAACCCGGAATGGGAGGGTTGGGGAATCTCAATGTTACGACTGTTTTCCTTCTTGGAGTGCAACATTTGGAGCGGAATACCGCAAGAAGTCGTGGGGGTAAAGGAGCGTGTTGACTGGTTGTTGAGTAGACCTCTACCAGAAGGAGCGATAATAACGGCACTAAGAGAGCGTTTGATGAGCGGCTGGGACCATACGCGTCTGACTGTCTTGCCAGAGGAGTACCCATCAGATGGGAAGCAACCGGGGGTGCAAATGGCGAAGTATAAGCACTGGATGGGGCTGCCCTTTTCGGGAGCCGCAGCCGTCATGTGGCCAACACATGCTAATGTTTTCATTCCTCGTTTAGCACATCGTAAGCTAATGCAGTTTCGTTTATGTTGCTGGGCTTTGGAGGCGAACAGAGCACGAAGGGGCAAGTACCATGTTCCCAGGGGGCAGCGGTTTTGCCACTGTTGTGGTCCTAATAGCCGAATTGAGGATGAAAAACACGTGTTATTGGAATGCCCAGCCTATAATGATATTCGTGCTGAAGAGGGATTCGATCATCAACAGAGTATGTTGGAGGCCATGCAATGGGAACCCGCACGCCTGGCGAGGATGTTGGAACGTATGTGGGCTCACCGAAACTCAATTACCCCCTTTGGACGCTAGTCTGGGCTGATGTGCGATGTTTTTTTTCCTTTTCTCCGTGGCTTTTAGGCGTTGTAGTATTGCCCTTGGGCCTTCGGCTCGTATGGGTAGTCTTACAGGTATGGGGTCACGCACCCCCCAACCATGTAACACACACACACACACATATACACACACATACACACATGCAATGTGAGATAAAGTGCGGATGGAGTGCTTACGTTGTACTTATCGATGAGGTTAGGTCCTTCGGCCACTAGCCTCCAGGCGGAACCAGAGGGATTTTCGATGTCTGCTAGGTAGAGGTAATCCTTGTTGTTGTTGTTGAGGTGGAAGTTGGGTACCCCGGGAGGAGAGTCGAAGTACCTGTGCACGGTGCCCAGAGGCTAATATCAGATTTCGCAATACAGGCATAGAGGCAAAAGTGTGCCGAATATTTACCCCTCTTCCAGAGCTGACATGACTTGCGCGACGCCTGTGCATGGCGAAGACATAAAACCAAACAGTCCAATCATCACTTTGGAAAGCTACAGTAATTACGTGCGTTACATTTTTTTCTGTTCATTTGAGCTCACCGACTTCGGCCCTTGCGACATTGGTGAGAGCGAGAAGGGTTGCGAGAACGAAGTGAGCCGGGCGACAAATGGCCGAAGCCACCATCTGCTGTCGCCGCATGTTTAAAGCTTCGCAGTATCCTATCTAATTAATGGCGAACAGGTCATTGAGGCTCTACCTCCTGTTCGAAATGGTCTCGTCACGGAAGCCTGGGCGCACCTCGCTAAGAAGTGCCTGTGAAGTGGAAACGGCGGACCTCTATTTGCATTCACAGTCCAGGAGATCCCCAGCAGTGCGCGTCGCATTTCAGCGTTACGTTTTAAAGCACCTATATAGACTGGTAAAGGTAGGATGTCGTACTGCGTGTGTGGCGGGAACAGCCTTTTCAGCTGCTCGGCAGATGCTCGAGCTGGCTAGCAGTACAGCATATATAATATGAATAATACATACTTGTTATGGTTTCTACAATGTAACCTGGGCGTGATCCACTTTGAAACAGGCAAACTTACTAATCGCTGATTACGATAACCGCCCGCAATCGGCGGTGCAGGAAACTGCACTACCTTCTGGCCAATCCATTGAAGCCGTGCATCTTTGCCAGACACAATGTTTTTTATGTTTAACAGCAAGTGTTTGCAATTGGTGGAGCACTGCATGCGTGGCCAGTCGGAGGTGACGAGCTCGATGTGGACAGAAGTAAGAGTACAGTAGAATATACAGAAATCAGCTTTCTAATTCTTTGTTAATCACCATGGTACTAAGATTGCGTATTGTGGCGCGTTTGGACGGATGACATGTAACCCCGGATCGCCCTAATGTGGCATGGCATGTCGCTCTGAAACCCTTTGAGCTGCGCTCAGCAAGCTTCATGGCGGGGGTCAGAGACCTTGCAGAGCCAATTCACCAATCACCAAGCATATGTCCCAATTGCGATCAACTCGCGGTTCGTTTGCACCAGGAGTTTGTATGGCAAGCTGGTTCCTTAACAAAGAACGCAGCATGAACGAATTGGATTGCTTATGCGCAGCTTCAGATTCTAAACGACCAATAATCAGAAACTATAATCTCCGACATATCATTAGAACCATTAATGCTCTGTGCATAACTAGGCATACTTCGAAGCTTCTACATGCACAAGGGATGCCATTTGGCCTCATTGGGGGGGCAATCGCGGATTTTGTTACAGTATGGTTGCGACTGGCGTTGAACCCCCTGGTAGGAACCCCTGCTACAGCAGATCTCGACGGAAACTTACATAGCCCGGCAGGAAGATCCCAGATGACGCTTAGATGAGCCTAGATAAACCTGTGTGGCCCTGCGAGAACGAGGCCTAGCGAATGCGTCTCTAGCGCCATTTTTCAATGTAGGATAGAAACCTAGCTAGCGCTGCAGGAGCGGAGCCTATTTAGCGCCTTAGGAAGAAACGGCAGGAAAACCACAAGGTGGAAACAAGCTCCAGCTGAATTTTTCGGTTTCTGCACCAACCACAGCGTCCAGTGGAATCTGTCGATTCGACGACAAATCCATGCGTGGTCACCTCGCAAATTTTTCGCTATAACCGGGTCCATCACCGTCCACGGGTTAGGACCGCACGTCTTCGTGTGCTGTCCGTGGAGCCCTTGGGGGCCTTCTGGAAGGACTTCCGACGCACTTGAACACATTTCCACCTTAGCTGGTGTGTTCCAAACTCTTGTTTATATTCTTTTGGTAAGGACCAGATCCAGTCAGCAAAATGCATTCTCCTCCTTGGCTCGTGTCGCCCCGCCCACGTCCTTCGTCTATGGCCACGTTCTGTGTTGCCCAATCACCAACACACATTCCATGCTGCAGCTAAGAGCGTGCATAAACCATCAATTGAAAGCTTGCAGTTTGCTATTGTGGCGCGGTGCATCTGCTGCAACCACTTGGCAGCAATCACTCCGGAGACGTTATATGGCTGCAAACATGAAAACCAACCCGGCTCTGTTACCTGGCCCTTCCCTTACGGAAGAAGCCATTTGTCGAGTTATTGTTGACTTTTGGGGCCGCCTTCAGGGTTTCGCAGCTTTGGGAATTCCACGGAAAGGTTGGGATTCTGTCGGCGCACATCACCCCTTCTTGAGAATTATATCAGGCAAATTGCTATGCTCACGGGAGCGGTCACCGATGAACGGTTAATTATCTGAGGTGATGGTCTAATTTGTATATTAGTCTCTACTGCAGTGCACGGCCAGCTGGCCCGATGGCTCTACTCTTCGGGAGTCTGGAGCCCACTGTAACAACCACACGCACTCCGGAGTGGCAAGGTGAGGCAGGGTGGGGTGAGGACGAGTGGCATCTTTGCTCCGGTCCGTGAAACCATCGGTCTGCGTTCTGCTACTTGTTTGTTTACGTCTTCTCTGATAACTAGACGACGAGCTCACGTGGGTAATCTATTTTATCTGCGCGGCTGGCATCGTGCGCGCCGTGCGCGCAGAGATCCCACTGCAAGCGGCTTTAACAGGAAGAACGGCAGATTAGTTTTGCACGATACTTGTATGCTGTTTTGATTTGTGCAAGGCGCATTGTGCCATGGCATCGGCAACGCATCAGTCGAAATGGGGCAGCCCGCAACTCATTACAGTTATCGCACAAAACGGCTCTGTTTGCAGATAGTAACGAGTCATATTTATTATTTGTCACGTTTGAAACAGGAGCGGCGATTGTTGCAGGTCACGGGGAATGCGGCCCTGCCCCGTTACAGAAGAGAAGGAACTGTGGGTCCGCGGCCCGCATTATTTCGTGTTCACAAAGGATAAGGAAATCAAAGCATATATGTTACTAAGCTACAGTTTCTATTAAAAAAACGTAAGCAAAAGCCTGGGGATCGCTGGGAGGAGCTGCCGGAGGACCATACCGTAATCGCTGTTGGTATTCGGGGACACTTGTAATCAGGTCGTTGAAGATTATGGTGTTAGTTGTAAAGCATATATCACTGAAAACATTAATAAGCTTAACCAGCTTTTTTACGAAAGCAATCCAGCAAAGTGCCATGGACCATGCTTTACTTCGCTAGATTTAAATTAGACAAAAAAATTGCTTTCCGAAACAAGAGCTTAGGCCGGAGGCAAAATAAGCCAAAAGATAATAATGTTAAAAAGTCATGGCAGGAGCTTCGATCATAATCGGTAAGAGCAGTTACCAAATCCTTTCCCGTATGTATGGCTCATATGGCTACAGCAAATGCGAATGCGTAGCGAGGTTATTGGGCTGGCACGGGCTGCAACCTGCTTTATCGTTATATGCTTGAATTGATAGGCTTGCAACTTTCAGGGTAATGGCATAAGCCAGGAGCAATCGCAAAGTTCCCGCCAAAAATGTTCACTGCGGCATGCCAACAAAGCGATGGCTCTCATCGCAGATCATCGAGCGTGCGTTTTCATAAATACAGAACAAAGATCTGCGGATCTATTGCTGCGTCGCATCCGCGGAAAGGGCTTCAACGAGGTGGGATCGTAGCGCGACGGTTAGCTACTCGTTTCCATCTGAACCAGACATCGGCAAACGGGGTATTTCTGTTCTATCTTCCGGTACAATTTCTGTTACAAGGCCGCGGAATGAAAGTGCATTTTTTGCAATAATCGGGCCGCGTAACAGGAGGGATGGCAAGTACGGTTGGATTGAGTTGGTAGGGTGGTCGCCAGGATTGGGATAGATCAACCGGGGATTGAGATAGACTGACGGGGGGATTGAGATTGACTGTGGAGGGATTGAGATTGAGACCGAGGTGGATTGAGATCGGGTTACCGTTGGATTGAGAGTGTAGTACCGTTGGATTGAGATAGACGCTACCGTTGGATTGAGATTGCCTTGGGCCTGGATTGGGATTGATACCCCGGAGGATAGGGATAGAAAGGCTGTAAGGCTGTACATATGCTTGTGTTACCCGCTGCACTCCTTTACCACGTCGGTGGTGCCGTTATCTAACCAAAAACGGTATCCGTGACATCTGTGACGCAACCTTTCCTCGACTGTTACACGTCGCACAGCTTTCGCAACGTTCGCTTAACATGCTTGGCACCAAGCGCTCTGTCCCACCGTATGCATGCTCGCGTATGCATGCTCGGAAACCATGCAGAAGAAGAACAACAGCCTGCCGTCCGCTTGACATCCCGTCATATGTACATAACACTAACTTGCACACCCATAAAATGTCCAATGGGACTGCTTCCACAGGCTGCCGCAAATAATCATAACAAAACACCTATCTTCCTGTACATGCTCCTGTACACGCACGCTCTGAAACTAGCCCATGAGTGTCGTACACACCACACCGCTGTACCGACACAAGTGCGCTCTTCTATTGGGTAAACCCAAACGACTGGTGGCGCGTAATGTACAGATTCCCGCTCGGAATTAAAACCCGCATTC